TATTTATCATTAGAGAGTTATAGATAAAAGACTTTTGGCCCCTCTGACCCCCAATTTGAGGGGTCAGCCCCATTTTCTTGATATCAAACGAAAGGTCTTGTGATTTCAAAGACTTTTTGTTCTACAACTATTCAGAGATTTCTTTTCGTTTAGGAGATGTGCTTTATATAAATATTTAGGGGCCACCCCTACAAGTCCTTAATGGGGCCATTTTACAAAAATTCAAAGTTTGCATATTGTTTAGACTATTATTCTGACCATCTTTTGTTCAATATTGCTTATCAAATTTTTCCCCCTTTTCGAGATATGAAGCGTCAAAGATTTAGCATTCTGGCCCCTCGTGACCCCTAATTACGTAACATATGACTAAAATATTGTAATATATTGTTGCAAATCATTAATATGAACAACTTTGCTTCTGTAATGTATCACAAAATATTGATCATAAAAGAGTTAAAGATGAAAGACTTCTGGCCCCTCTGAGCCCCTAATTTGAGGAGTCAGCCCCTTTTTCTTGATATCAAACGAAAGGTCTTGTGATTTCAAAGACTTTTTGTTCTACAACTATTCAGAGATTTCTTTTCGTTTAGAAGATATACTTAATATAAATATTTAGGGGCCACCCCTACAAGTCCTTAATGGGGCCATTTTACAGAAATTCAAAGTATGCATATTGTTTAGATCATTATTCTGACCATCTTTTGTTCAATATTGCTTATCAAAATTTTCCCCCTTTTCGAGATATGAAGCGTCCAAGATTTAGCATTCTGGCCCCTCGTGACCCCTAATTACGTAACATATGACCACAATATTGTAATATATTGTTGCAAATCATTAATATGAACAACTTTGCCTCTGTAATGTATCACAAAATATTGATCATTAAAGAGTTAAAGATGAAAGACTTCTGGCCCCTCTGAGCCCCTAATTTGAGGTGCCAGCCCCTTTTTCTTGATATCAAACGAAAGTTCTTGTGATTTCAAAGACTTTTTGTTCTACAACTATTCAGAGATTTCTTTTCGTTTAGAAGATATACTTAATATAAATATTTAGGGGCCACCCCTACAAGTCCTTAATGGGGCCATTTTACAAAAATTCAAAGTATGCATATTGTTTAGATCATTATTCTGACCATCTTTTGTTCAATATTGCTTATCAAAATTGTCCCCCTTTTCGAGATATGAAGCGTCAAAGATTTAGCATTCTGGCCCCTCGTGACCCCTTATTACGTAACATATGACCAAAATATTATAATATATTGTTGCAAATTGTTAATATGAACAACTTTGCTTCTGTAATGTATCACAAAATATTGATCATTAAAGAGTTAAAAATGAAAGACTTTTGGCCCCTCTGAGCCCCTAATTTGATGAGTCAGCTCCATTTTCTTCATATCATGTAATAGTTCTTGTAATTCTGCACAACTTTCGTTCAATATGTCTTAACAAATTATAAAGAGATAAGAATATATGAAACAAAAGGTGTCAAATTTTGTGAGATGTTTCTGAGATATTTTTTCGGGCCCTACCGAGCTCCGGCGCCTTTTGCGCTAGAAAGATTTGGACACCAGCCCGCAACTCTACAATTCTTCCTTTACTTTCACTAAAAATCTTAAGTCAATATCTTAAGTCGTTTCGGAGGAGTTTTCCGGACAAGCCTACCCTCTAAAAATCAGAAAATTCATAATATCTCGAGATCGAAAGTGACGTCATCGCCGAAAAAAATTTCCAATAAGGTTCAAACCTATACCTATCAGATCTGAAAGTTTGATCAAAATCGGATGAGCCACTACCGAGAACTCGCGTGCACAAAATCGGTAAGAATAATAATAATAACTAGATGCGTTCTTGTTGCTAGGGCAACAAGTAGGTCTTCCGACCGACTTTTCTTTAGAGTTCTATGCTGCGTCATCCCATGAAATAGATTTCAGAATGTATTTTTTCGTTTACGTTCATTTACAGTAGTTTCACACCACAGATCGTGATTGTTCCAGGTATTTCACAAAATATCTCCAAATATAGCTTTTAAAAATCTGCAAAATGTTCCACACATGTTATAAAAGAGTGAAAAGTAATTTGCAACTGGAAAAAGACAAAAACAAAGAAAAAATTTGGGGAACGCCCCGAGCGGGATTCGAACCCCCGACAGTAAGACAAAGTTTGGTTCGGTCATATCTTTGCAATAAACGCACGCATGAATAAAATGAAAACATATATAGATATCTTTGAAGACGCTCTACAAACCCTGTAAATCCGAAAGAAAAATATTGAAGAACAAAAAAGTTGAAAAATTGGACTTTTTGAATTCACTTCCGTTTGCGACCGGAAGTAGGAACGACAAAAAATGAAGGACGTTCGGCACATCTACATGTGATGTTCTTTCATGTCCATAAGTTTCAATGTCATATCTTTAGCCGTTTTCGAGAAAAGTAGTGTACAAAAATCCATTTAAAAAATACAAATTTCCCAAAAAATCGCGAACGGAAGAAAATTTTGAAAAAATGAAAAACACGTCTGGAGATATTAACCTGGTGCATCTTTCCTGTAAAAATCTTTGAAATCCGTACAGTCACAGCTGAGATATCGCCATAAAAATGAAAAAAAGAATAATAATAATAATAACTAGAAACTCTTGTTGCTACAGCAACAAAAAAGGTCTTCCGTTCTTCTCTGTTTATCTGTAAGAACGAACCTTTTTCCTATGTTAAAAAATACATATATTTTACATACGATATTTGCTGAGAAAGAAACATAAATAGAAAAAGGGTTTCTCATTCTTGGAACAGGAAAACAAACGACTGGGGGTATATTTTACTAAGACTTTCGATGTTACTTGGGGCATTTTTAGTCTTTAAAACATAATTATGCAAAAAAATTCAAATACCTTATCTGTAAGTGAAATGAATGGGAAACTTGAATGCTCATATTATGTAGTTTTTCTCTCATAACCTTTAACAATTGTATATTTAGTATCGTAGTGTTTTTTTTTTAATTAAAGGATCTGATTCCATTAAACATTAATTGTGAATTTTAACGTTTAAACAGCGTTTTACCATTAGATGTAATGACAGTACCGTTAACAATAACTTAAACAAGATGTGTTTGTGAAACACTGATCCCCGCGTATGGCAACATTGCGAAGGTTAAGCTTTCTCAAATGCAGATCAAATATGTTGGTACCTAAAGTAAGAAATACAGATGTGAAGTATAAAACCCTAGCACCACCTGTTCAAGGGTTATTACCAAGGTTAACATTTTTATAGGTAGGACAAACTCCTGGGTCAAGGTCAAAGGGTCAATGTTGTTGGTTTCTAAAGAAAGGCCTTGTCTCAAAGATTACGTATGAGAAGTATGAAAGTGCTGGCCCCTAGGTACCGTTCAAAAGTTATGGCCAAAATTAAAGTTTTTTTTAAAAAAATCCTCCAAGGTCAAGGTCAAAGGGTCAAGGTTCTTGATATCCAATGAAAGGCCTTGTCACAAGGATTACATACTGAAATATAAAAACTCTAGCCCCTATTGTTAAAAAGTTATGACCAAGATTAAAGTTTGGAAAAAGTAGTTCAAACACCAAGGCCAAAGGGTCAAAGTTTTTGATATCCAATGACAGGTCTTCTCACAAGGATTACATATTTGAAGTATGAAAGCCCTAGCCGCCATTACCGTTTGAAAGTTATGACCAAAATTAAAGTTTTTTCGTAAGAACGGAAATCTCGAAGGTCAATGTCAAAATTCTTGACTTTAAATTAAAGGTGTTGCCAAAAAGAATTCATATTTGAAATGTGAAATTCTTATCATCTACCGATTTAAAATAAGTGCCAAAGTAAAAGTTTTTTAAAGAGAATTTTTGTGTAAAAGTGGGTCAAACTCCAAGATCAAGGTCAAAAGATCAAGGTTCTTGATATCTAATAAAGGGTCTTCTCACAAGGATTACATACGCGAAGTATGAAAGTCCTAGCTATTTCCGGTCAAAGGTTATAGCCAAGGTTAAACTTTTTCATAAGTACAAAAATCTCCAAGGTCAAAGTCAAAAGGTCAAAGTTTTTGGTATCCTGTGAAAATTCTTAAACGAAAAATACATATGTCAAGTATAAAATGCCTGGTATCTACTGTTCAAAGGATATAGCGAGAGTAAAAGTTCAAAATTTTTGTGTAAAAGTGGATCAAACTTCAAGGTCAAAAGGTCGAATCTGGTGGTACCCAAAGAAAGGTATTGTCACAAGGAATACACATGTGAAATATGAATGTCATAGCTCCACTTAATCAGAAGTTATGGGCAAGCTTAACGTTTTTGCGGACAACAGACAGAGAGACAGCTAGGCAGACAGAGAGACAGACAAACAGCTAGACGGACACGACAAAAACTATATATCCCCGAAACTTTGTTTACGGGGGAATAAAAAGATAAAATGGGGAAAATATAAATTATTTACTTTTTTATATAAAAAAAAATAAATACGTTAAAAAATATGAAGAAGAAATAAATTATTTATACCAGAATAATTTTATAAAATACATGAATTAAAAGTGTGGTTTTAAAATGACAGGATTTACACAACTACTTCGGGGGGGGGGGGGGGGGGGGGGGGCTTTCCCCATACTCTATTTGACCATATTTAATTATTTCATCCAAGATGACACTGCTTAAATATAACTTAAGATATACTGAAGTGATAATTGCATGTCTACATTAACATACTATATATGATTAAAAACCTCTAAGGTACGTGACTTTAAAATCATTTTGATATTATGGGCATTATGTTTGTTTGTTTGTTTTTTTAACATCAGTAATTTTCACTGAAATACTAAATCCTTCTTTTTGAGAAAAAATATCTTTCCAAGTAATATCAATTTATATTTTTTTTAAAATTATTTTTAACATTTACGTTATCTCGCGCTATGTTCTGGGACCTTCGGGAGTCGGGCTTCGAAAAGACTAGATTTACCCCTTGCCGAAACAATATGTGACGTCATTGTCATTTCCTTGCTTGGGAGTTGGAGCTGCAGCTGCAGATTGAGACTCGCAGATTATAGACTTATCGAACGTACATATCCTGACAACGTTTTTGGAAGATTTCAAGCAAGTCTTCTTAGATCTTTAAAGACACAACATTTTTATTAATTCCAACTTGCTGCTCGAGCCTGCTGAAAGAGATTTAAGGTAAGTACTTTTGGTTAAAAAAAAGTTCCTTTCGTCAAAGATGGCGGCCAAGGGAGATTAGTTATAGATTATTTCTTGATTTATAAGACATTGTGACAAACGCATGAAAATTGATGTTGCCGCCAATTAATGGAAATAAATATCATTATTTTTTTTTATTTAGACTATTCCAATTTTTTCTCTTTGTGTAGCATCCATCCCAAAGTTGAAAACCTATCTTTCTAACCAACCAAAAGGGAAATAAAACGAATTTTATGTGCAGTTATAAATTTTCTCAGTCATTTGAGAATTTTCCTTTCATTATTATTAACTTAAACTACTAATTAATTGGATATATTGAAAAAGAAAATGGTATAACTGCACTCCATCATTTTAGAAAAGAGGGATGCTGATCCAAAAAGAGTAAAACATGTTTCGAAGATTTGCATTTGTCAATTTTAATTTGCGTTTGTTTTTAATTTCAAAACTTTTAAACCATTTGTTTGTGGATGCTTAACATAGAAAAACTTGGCCTTGGACCTACCTTGAAGCAGCTAATGATAAAATACTGCTTAATGAGAGTGTAGACAAATCATAAAGCATTGCATTGCAATGCTTAGTGCTATAAATCATTGCATTCATAGTTGACATTCTCAACTGCATATGCCATAGGCTTTGGAACCAGAAGGGCTAAGGTGCTTCAGCTTGAAAATTGGGGATTACTTTTTTTTAATTGGTTTAGCCCCCCACTTTGCTTCCAATGCCTATGTATGCCAAATCATTGCTAAATGAAAGAATGATATTATTAAGTGGTTGAGAATGGGAACTATTAATTTATGCAATAATTAATGACATTGAGCGTTGCAATGCTTAATGATATATTTATCATCATGTAGCATTTTATCATTATCGGTTGGTACAATGCTTGTAATTCATGTATTCTTAAATTTAGTCTTGAGTCATTTTTTGTGAAACTAACTTGTGTAAAAGGAGGTCTTTTTTCTTTTAAAGTCGTAGAGTGCAATCAACACCTATTAATCAAGCAGAGTGATCGCCCAGATTGAATGCAGTTGTCAGATTTCATAGTCCTGTATTTATAACTAAGAAATAACTATACTACTTTATATGCATATAGACATGTCTTTGGCCTTTAATGCCTCAAAATCAAATATCAATGCAAGATGTACTAATCTAAATTAGAGTTGAAATGATACAGCGACATATAGATCATACTGATCATGTGTAAGACTGCTACAGTTCCATTTTAGTCTAAATTGGAGTTGAAATGATACAGCGGTATATCGATCATATTGATCGTGTGTAAGACAGTTCCATTAACTTCAAGGTTGGTTCTAAATTTAATGTAGTGTTGAATAATAGGGAAAATTTCACAATCGATAATCGGTCAAAATCGGAGAAGCTTAATAGATCAATGATAGACTTAATTGGTAATTAAAATTTCAAATACAAAATTCCATTTCTTTATAGCATTTATCATTTATGGAACAAACTAGAAATAAAATTTTATCAAGTTTATTCTAAAGACAACTTTTTGTTGTATAAGTAACAAAGAAACAGAAAAATTTTTTTTTACATATTTGCTCATACTTGCAATGTAGCAAATCTGAGCTGAGAATACAGTCTATGCGAAAGTCATCCGACCGTTGGTTTTTACCGGTAAAATTTAAGTCGGGTCGGTAAAAAATTTCAGTATACAGGACCAAATGTCCGGTAAAAAATAAGGTCAAATAAATCTAAATTAAGATATACAAATGGTCCATTTCCCCACAAATATCCTTTATTTGACCAATTTAGCAGTAATACCTGATTAATTTTTATGTTTAACAACCATGTCATGATCGTTTTAATTCTAACTCGAATTAATTTTTATGTATAACAACCATGTCATGATCGTTTTTATTCTAACTCGAATTTCCTCTGTCAAAGGTTAGAGATCCTTAGACAGCTCATACAGTTTTGTTGGAAAAATATTTAGATAGCTCATTCGTAGATTCTATTGGGAATTTTTTTTCAAATGATCATTGAACTTGAGTAACCATAATGAGTTGTTTCAGGAAAAATAAATATGCATTGAAAGTGCATATTAAATTTAAGAGAATATTATGAAGGTAAATGCATGCAATTGTATAAATAGATACCTTTTACAAAGGAAAATTATAAATAGTTAACTTGTCTATTTAACTCTGAATTTATTTAAAGTAATATACGCCGTATGGATGCCGATTTGTATGTGAAACAAAATGATTAAATGATTTGAAACACATAAAGTGTAATGAAAAAATAATATTTCCACAAAATTTAACTATAAAACTCGTTGTAATAACAGAACAATAAAGTAATATCTGCAATCAAGAATTCAGTCTTTTCATGAATATTGATAAAGGAAGTGCGTAAACAGTAGGTCTAAATATAGACACGTATGTCCAAGGGAAATTATAGACAACGAGGCACGTTGCATTTTGACAACGATTATTAATAAAAGGTTAATATGCGTAATAACAGAGTATAGATGGTTGATACTGATTACATTTAAAGATAAGTTATATTAATAGTAACACGCCATCCATGTCAAAAGTGAGTTGTATCTCAAAGGGCTTACCTCGTTTTCTTGACGCCGTGTTTGTTTATCAATCTAAAAGTAGCGACGGCGTCACGTGGTGGATTTACTTAAAAATAGACATTATTCTCCTTGCAGGATAATAAATAATTATAATTTGATAACTTTATAGCGAATTTATTTAAATGGTGTAATTTACAGCATTTTTGTAACTTTTATTGGTAAACAAAATATATAAATTTCCAGCCGTATTTTAAAATGGCGCACGTTATAGCGTATATTACTTTAAGGTTAAATTTCACAGTGAGAATTAACCCCATCCCACCCACCCTCTCAATCTCAGTTTCATTATCGTGTATGGATTTAAAGGAAAAAAAGTCTGTCTGGTAAGAAATTGCTTGGTCTGGTGAAAATTTTATTTTTACCAGACATTTTGTCCTGTAAAAATTTTTAACTTTCTCGTAGACTGGAATATAAAAGGATTTGTACTTGAAATAACTTCCAAATTAATCAAAACAAACCTTTTTAGCTCACCTGAGCCGAAGGCTCAAGTGAGCTTTTCTGATCACATTTTGTCCATCGTCCGTCCGGACGTCTGTCTAGCTGTCCGTCCGTCTGTAAACTTTTCACATTTTCGACTTCTTCTCAAGAACCAATGGGCCAATTTTAACCAAACTTGGTACAAAGCATCCTTGCGTAAAGGGGGGTTTAAATTGTTAAAATGAGGGGCCAAGTCACCTCACAAGGGGAGATAATCAAGAAAAGACAAAAATAGGGTGGGGTCACTAAAAAATCTTCTTCTCAAGAACCACCGGGCCAAGAAAGCTGAAACTTATGTGGAAGCATCCTTGGGTAGTGTAGATATTAAATTGTTAAAATCATGACCCCCGGGGTAGGGCAGGGCCACAATAGGGAATCCAAGTTTTACATAGAAATATATAGAACAAATCTTTAAAAATCTTCTTCTCAAGAACCACTGGGCCAGGAAAGCTGAAACTTATGTAGAAGTATCCTTGAGTAGTGTAGATAATAAATTATTAAAATCATGACCCCCGGGGGTAGGGCGGGGCCACAATAGGGAATCCAAGTTTTACATAGAAATATATAGAGAAAATCTTTAAAAATCTTCTTCTCAAAAACCACTGGGCCAGGAAAACTGAAACTTATGTGGAAGCATCCTTGGGTAGTGTAGATATTAAATTGTTAAAATCATGACCCCCGGGGTAGGGCAGGGCCACAATAGGGAATCCAAGTTTTACATAGAAATATATAGAGCAAATCTTTAAAAAATCTTCTTCTCAAGAACCACTAGGCCAGGAAAGCTGAAACTTATGTGGAAGCATCCTTGGGTAGTGTAAATATTAAATTGTTAAAATCATGACCCCCCGGGGATAGGGCGGGGCCACAATAGGGAATCCAAGTCTTACATAGAAATATATAGAGCAAATCTTAAAAAATCTTCTTCTCAAGAACCACTGGGCCAGGAAAGCTGAAACTTACTTGGAAGCATCCTTGGGTAGTGTAGATCTTAAATTGTTAAAATCATGACCCCCGGGGATAGGGCGGGGCCACAATAGGGAATCCAATTTTTACATAGAAATATATAGAGAAAATCTTTAAAAATCTTCTTCTCAAGAACCACTTGGTCAAGAAAGCTGAAACTTAATTATGTGGAAGCATCCTTGGGTAGTGTAGATATTAAATTGTTAAAATCATGACCCCCGGGGGTAGGGCGGGGCCACAATGGGGAATCAAACTTTTACATAGAAATATATAGGAAAAATCTTTAGAAATCTTCTTCTCAAGAACCACTGGGTCAGCAAAGCTGAAACTTATATGGAAGCATCCTAGGGTAGTGTAGATTCTATAGTTTTAAAATCATAAAAGGGAAGGGTGTAGTGGGGCATGATAGGACTACAGCAAGAGGGGGAATCTGGTAAAGAACTGTATCACCCAAGTTACTCAGGTGAGCGATGTGGCCCATGGGCCTCTTGTTGAGATTGCTTATGCCTTTTATCCCCAAAAATAATCCCGAAAATCCAATTAATGTTCTCAAGGTTTTTTTCTCTCTTCAAATTGACCTGCCATGTTTACATTCGGATTTCTCTAGATTGTCCTTAGTAAATGCACTGATTATGAGTTATTGCCTGTGTTTCTTTTGCTACATTACGAATACATGGAACAAATTCTATCGTTAAACCGGGTCCGTAGGACAATATTTAATATTTTAAGGATAGAACATTCTATCTATGCATTCCCTGGATATGGGTAAATTTCTACTTGATTGTTGTTAAGTTCATCTTCGGACGCCATTTTTGTTGACATCCTTTTGTTTTACTTAATGCATACATATTTGTTTCGTTTACATCGTACAAGTTTATTTTGGTCGAGATTATTTTGGCGACAATCGATTATGAAAAATGTAATAGATAATCGGAATTGA